CTTCTGCTGCCTGGCGGGGTTGCTGATGATCTGGGGCGTGGGGGACGGGGGAAGGCTGGGTCTCTGATGCGTGTAGAAAAAGATGATTTCTGGAGCTAGGGTTTCAAAATAAATTTAATCAAAGTCATAAGGATCCTCATTTTCACTTTCAGGAAAATATAAGAGGAAAAAAGTACCTTTTTGAATTTCCCATTTCTCATGGGACCTGTTTTTAAAAATTAGCAAATTGTGTACACTTTTTTAAATGGCTGATCTAAAAAAAAATACCATCTACCTGATATTGATAAAGTTCTACATTAAAAGAGGATATAACAAATCTACTGAATATACATAAAGATTTAGAAAAGAGTCATTTGGAGACAAAAGTTACACAGAATTCGGTTATAGAAAATTTTCAATAAAGTAATGAATGAATAAATAAGAGGAAAACATCAGATTAAGAATGTGAAAATAAAGATATACAGAACAGGGAAACTGGGAAAGAATCACCAGAGAAAAATTTTCTTAAATGCAATAGAAGACATACTCGAATATCACATGATAAAGATAGAACGAACAGAACGAGATTGAAAAGCAGTAGTGTTAACTGAAGGAAGCTTTCAAAAAATAGACACATACAGATTTGCCTTGAATCGTGTCCCCCCTCCAAAATACAGGTATGTTGATGTCCTAACTCTTGGTACCTCGGAAGGTGAGCTGATTTGGAGTTGGGGTTACTGCAAATGATCAGGTTCAGATGGGGGAAATGTGGACACAGATACACACAGAGAGAAGATGATGTGAAGTTGGGGAGAAAGCCACGTGAAGACAGAGATTTGGGGCGACGCATCCACAGTGCCAAGGAAAGCCAGAGATCCTGGCAAACCACCAGCAGCTGGAGAAGGCTGACAGGTGAGCTGATTTGGAGTTGGGGTTACTGCAAATGATCAGGTTCAGATGGGGGAAATGTGGACACAGATACACACAGAGAGAAGATGATGTGAAGTTGGGGAGAAAGCCAGGTGAAGACAGAGATTTGGGGCGACGCATCCACAGTGCCAAGGAAAGCCAGAGATCCTGGCAAACCACCAGCAGCTGGAGAAGGCGTGGAAGGATTCTCGCCGAGGCTTCAGAGGAGCAGGCCAGGCTGATACTTTGATATCGAACTTCCAGCCTCCAGAATTGCGAGAGAATAGACTTCTGTTGATTTAAGGCACCCAATTTGTGGTATTAGGTTAGGCAGCCCTAGGAAACGAACATAAGCACAATGAGATAAGAAAATAAAAGGATTTCTGGTTATTTCTTTACCAAAACATAAAAATTTCAACAGTTTTTTTCTTAAGAAATTATTAATTTTGCCAGGGTAAGGAAAAGTTAAAAAGCCTTAAGCTATTTATTCTCATAAGTTTGGATTTCTATGATAGTAGTAATGTCATTATTAAAAATTTATGAAAAGCATGAACAGGAAAATAAGTTAGCCACAGTTCCATAACCACCACGTCAGCATATTTCCTTCCAGGCTTTTCTTTCTGCAATATATATGCAACGTGCGTGCACACACACACACAATTTTATTATACGCAGTGCCTACTAAATTTTCTCACTTCTTCCCCCAAATAATTCATAATATGAAATCATTCTCATGATATAGAGTTGTATAAACACATTTGTTGCCTATATAATCAATCCAGTGGGTGTTTACCTGTTTAGATGTTAGGACACAGGTGTTTCTAATAGAAAGTTACTATAAACAACCTCACAATGTAACAACTTCACAATGAAGGTCTTTGTGCAAGAAATCTCAATCCACATCTGATGGGCATTTCCGTAGAGTGTCCCACAAATGGAATTAATGGGCAAAAGACACAGACACATTTTTTTCAGCCTCAGATGCATCTTGCTTTCCAAAATAAGATGAACTGTTGATCGCTGGACAAGGTTTAAAGCAGGTTCCGGTGGCTACTGGTGGCCGTGGCTATGGAACAGCTATGTTCCCGTACATTTGTGGGGACTTTTTATTCTCAGGGGTCTTGCTGTACTTCTCATGGAGCAGAAATCATTCAAACCAAGACAGGTTGGTAAGTGATGATGGTGTCAGCAGCAAAGCTGAACAGAGGAGTCTCACGCAGGACAAGCAAAGCGCCCAGCAGAGTGCCCTGGGCTGCCTGGGGACAGCAGCCCCACAGCAAGGTTGGGCAGCTGAGGGGTCAGGAGGGCCATCTCTCGGCACGAGACGCATGGCTTCCAGGACAGCACATTGCTGGGGTGTTAGAGCTGGGTGTCCCCCAGGAGCACCTGCCCGCCCCTCCCCTTCCTCCAAGCCAAGGGAGCCTCCTGCCCATCCAGGCCTCCCATTAAAGCCATCCTCTAATCTCATGCAGACCTTCGGTCTTCTGTACCCTCCTCTCGTCCAGAGTCGACAGGTTGGTAAGTGATGATGGTGTCAGCAGCAAAGCTGAACAGAGGAGTCTCACGCAGGACAAGCAAAGCGCCCAGCAGAGTGCCCTGGGCTGCCTGGGGACAGCAGCCCCACAGCAAGGTTGGGCAGCTGAGGGGTCAGGAGGGCCATCTCTCGGCACGAGACGCATGGCTTCCAGGACAGCACATTGCTGGAGTGTTAGAGCTGCGTGTCCCCCAGGAGCACCTGCCCGCCCCTCCCCTTCCTCTCCAAGCCAAGGGAGCCTCCTGCCCATCCAGGCCTCCCATTAAAGCCATCCTCTAATCTCATGCAGACCTTCGGTCTTCTGTACCCTCCTCTCGTCCAGAGTCGAACATGGGGTACTTCTGCGGGACGCCAGGGTCCAGCATAGAGCAGTGAGGGCTGACAAAGCACAATGGCGAGGAAGGGCATTGGCGCTATAGGCTTTTATGAATAAAATTTGAGAAGCTGGAGCATCAAATTATTTGGGCAACACAGTGGTACGTTTTTCATTCCTATTTTGATGATGGGACTTCATGAGATCATAGAACAAATCTCCCACAGCTGTGTTGTTCTAACAGGTCCATGTTTTCACCAAGGGGAAGCTGGGAGTCAGGGATGGGGCCCGGGAGGGGGGCGGCACACACACACATCCCTCCCTAGGAACCTCTAACCTTGCCTTTCGTAACCTTTTATCTTAATGTCACTATGGTCATGAAGGAAACCAAAGTGATTTTAAGATTCTACACGTTTCACGGTAAAGCGCAAACACTTTAGAAAAGGTCTGTGATTTAGAAATATCAATCGTTGTAAGCCACTCAAACCAGTTTTCTAGGATCCTCCATAATTTTATCAATTTCTTTCATGCTGTAAGGAGGTCCTGAGAACAGAGTTTGAGAGCCGCTGCCTTAATCAATATGTGACAAATCATACAGGTATAACATCCTGTGACTGGAAAATGCTGATAGTCTGTAGGGACTGCCCCTCCCTCATTCAACAAGTGAGAGCTCATACATGTTTTAAAAAATTAAAAACCTACAAATGTGAAGAAAGTGGGGAAATCTTTAGCTAGCATGCAACCTTTAGTCAGCATCAAAGCATCAAAGAATTTATACTGGACAAATTCCACAAATGTGATTATAGCAGAATCTTCGCTTGTAGCTTGACCTTGATAAACATGAAAGGACTCACCAAGAATTCTGTGAAGAACTCTGTGACATGGAACGTGTGGCTCATCCCTCTCTCAACTTGAGAAGACGCATTCCAGAGAAAAATCTGTAAACGTACTAAATGCAGGAAAATGTTCAGCATCAAAAAACTCATACTGGAGAGAAATCCTTTTCTATAAAAATCGGTCGTGCAGAACGGGCTTCAATGAGACCCCCGTTTCTTTGGATGACGTAGAAGTCTCCCAGGAGAATAACCTTTCTTCCCAGAGAACTGAGGGTTCATCTAACCAGGAAGCCCCAAGTGGGAGAAGCTGCTTCTGAATGAATCCCACCAAAATAAAATGTTCAAAGGGATCAATAAGGAGCCCACAGCAGAAGGGTCTGCTGGTGTTTTTGAAAAATGCACGTTGCATTAAATGCAGACACATATACGTGTTATCGTTTTAACATTTTAATTCAAAGAAAAGTTCTTTAACACCAGCAGGGGGACCAAACCCCATGTGATGGCAAAGGGGATAGAGGTGACTTCTAGACTTCTAAACAGATGTGCCCTTGTCGCCTTGCTGCACGTGGACCAATCAGAAGGGAATCTGAAACAGAAGTGTTTTGCTGGGGGGCGTCAGACCGAAGACTTAAATCAGGCTGTATGTGTACATAGTTTGCTGTTTTTATATGGTCAGAAGACTCTTTCCATGACAGTATAGCCCTGGCTTATCCTAAAATTATAAACATATTTCGAGTAGTAAAAATATTGAGCTACCAATGTTTAAGAGAATAATCCAAGGAAAGTTAATGACAGAGAAATGAGGCACTTCAAACGAAAAAACACATCGAAGCTCCTAGATGCTAAAGTACAAGTTTTGGTAGTAACAGGATTACATTCAAAGACCTAATTTTATTAAAACGTTCGTATAAAGGCACATATATCCAGTTTTGTTAGAAATACTCATTGGTAGTTGAAGTCAGGGAGGGATTGGTTTCTGAGAATCACCCAGAACTTTTTCTCCCACGATCAGAGGATGAAAAGGTTGGCACAAAACAAGCCACACTGCTGTTACCGACACAAGTTTTAATTTTTCTATTATTTGTATTCAAGACTTAATGCTGTGCCAATAAGCGTAGATGACATTTTATGAGCACTGACTTTAAAATGCTGACAGCGTCGCTTCTGTGCAATCAAAAAGAAGGGTTAGAAAGGGGGAACTCGGGAAGGGTTGGGGCGATGTAAGAATAGCATGCTAGGAAATGAAGGTTAAGAACAGAATTTCTAGAAGAAAAAAAAACTTCTCTTCAAACCGATGGCTAAGCCAAGAAAGAAAATTCCCACCAACTTCTTATTCAACAAGTGTTTCAGGAATGTCAACTGAAGTTTGACTTTATTATGAAGGGAGCTTTTTTCAGAGAAACAAAATATTGAGTTTTAATATCAGAAATGTTTTTATATATCTTTATTCTTCGAACTTCATGTCAAATTACAAAGTCCACACCATGTAGTTTAAGATATACACTTCTTCAGGCAATAACCAAGAAAACACTGAAAATGAAATCACAGTAAACAATCAATTTTTAAGTATAGAAATCATGTTACATTTCAGTATGGTCCAATACGACAGTCTAAAAGTAGACCCCCTTTATAACATCACAGATGTACACTTTTCTTACTCAAAGAAAGCCCACAAAGCGATTTTTTTAAGTATTAAAGTTATATCACAGGGCTAATTGCTTAAAACTATAAACTCTTGGAATGTTGGCAGGAAGGTTATGCCAGGTTCATGTTTTTAAACACTGATGAAAACTTGCAAGCTTTAGAGAACATCGTAAAAACCAAATCCATTACTTAATAACAAAGTCGTACTTAGAAAGTAGATATCGCCTTCAATTTTGTTATTGGTACAATTTTTAACCCTTTTCCTGTTTAGAAAAAGTTTGCTAACTTCTTGTGCAGGAAAGCTGCATTTTCTAGGATTTGGCATTTTCAGCGATCAAGAATTACTATATTTTTGTAAATGGAATTAACCACTGCTAAAACCAGAATGCTATCAATAGAATGATGTCATTTGTTTCCAAAGACTATTGATATACTAGAGCAATGCAAAAATAATAATAAAAGCAAGATAGTTCATGGCAAACTTTGGGAGTGAGGTTAGGGCTGTAATCCACGAGTTATCTCAGGGTAAATGCTGCAGCTGCAAGCATTGCAGGCGAATGTTCTCGGGGCAAACGGGAAACGGGTTAATGAAATTTAAGTTAAAAAACACCGGCGGGGGACGTGGGAGGGGTACATGTAGGGAGAGATGAGGAGGTACCAGCTTGAAACTGCTCAACTTACTGAACGGAGAAGGGTTCAGGAGTCTTCATAGAGCTGATCTCTAGAAAACAACAGCTCTTAGGATCCATTCTTTTAGGATCTATAGTTTGTATTCAGATGTGTGTAACAGATTTGGGAATTTTCTTTGAAATTTCAAGTTTTCCTCCCCAAGTATCTTCTGGTTCTACTATTATTTCTTTTAATAGGATTACTGTTTTTCTAATCAACCAATTTTTTTTGTTTTTGAAAGGGTAATATTAAAACATACTATTTTTCAAGTCACTAAAGGTGGTTTGGGTTAGAAAGTAATTTGTTTGAAAGGGGATTCTACTTATTTGATTTCATATTTGCTGTGACATCTGCTGTGACATCTACACCTGGCATTTGGTATTCTAGGACTGAAAGGAATTATTAAAAATGAGAAAAATGAAACGCGATACAGATTAAATCAGCCTTATTAGATGTTTCTGAAAAGAAACAACTTTTATTCTACATCAGTGATAAACTATATATCCATCTGACACTATTTCAAGTCACAATTTGCACTATCTCTCCGTTGAAGCATTGAATCTTCTTTTTCTAAATATGACCTTTTAAAATCATTCGAAAGCAAACAATTATTCTGAAGATAAAGCATCTGAAAAAATTCAACCTATCCCGACTTTAATTTTTAGATCACGACATCCTGATACAGAAGAGGCTCCATTCAATTTCCTTCATATTTTTACTTCTTGGTGATTTCTTTCCAAATTTTATGATAAACTATAATAAGGAGAATAACACTGAAAACATAATACAAATATACAAGAATACAAGTAAAGTTCAAAACAGAACACCATATTGCAATATCTCCAAGTATGATGTGTTTGTCATATGCCCCAAAACTATAGGGCCTTTGGTCCTCAACACAGATCCACTTTTTTTTTTTTTTTTTTTTTGCCTTTTGATGTCTAAAGTAGACAAGAATCAAGAAAATAATTAAAGTCTTGATTTGAACACATCTTAATTGGTGCAATATTACTCTTAATAATGCTCAAATAACAATAGACAAGCAATACATATAAAAAGACTATGTATCATACAAGCAATGTTTTTAGGATCACAAATAACTTGCACACTGACATAAAAACCTACAAATTAAATCTTACCTCATTAAGTTTTCATGTAAATTAGTAAGAATACTATTATCCGAAGCATTCTAAATTATTTCATTTTCTAGTGTAGAAAGGTAATGGTAGAAAGCGTGTTTTTTAGTAAGCTACCAATAGACACACGCACACGCACACACACCAGTGCAAACTATCAAAAGAGAATTCTAATTTTCAAGTGAAAAATATTAAACCTCTACACTAAAAGTAGGAGGGCTGCAGAGTGTAAATTTCCATTATAAATGTGACACATAGACAACTCAATGTACATATGGTCAGTAAAATAAAGAATAACTTTCTATCCTTCTTTTAGGTTCTAATCTGTCCAATTCTAAAAGTTTGATATGGTCCTGGTTTTGACAGCTAACTAGAAGGCTCTGAAAATTTTCATGGTAAGCTACCAGAGACTAATTATCCACTGGTGTTACACTTGCTATATTTGCTTCTTTAGTATTAAGCCATAACCCTCTCCTGCTATTTTGTTTCATGCGGCACCAACCAAACTTCATTTTTTTCTAATAAAAATAAATATATAAAGAAGACACTGTCAGGCATATATTCACAAAGTCTCAATTTCTTAAAACATAAGTATGGGTATATTTATTTCTCTCAAATGCATACAAGACAATAATTACACAGCAACAAAGCTTTTGTTCAACAATGATTTGATTCATAAGCATTTGAAATTTACATAATTTCACATCCATACCCTTACATTTTTAAATATTTGTAAGTAAAAAAGCCCCCCAAATAACCAATCCTTATATTTCCTATTTATCCCTCTATACATCCAAACTTTAAAAAGTTACAAACTGAACATTATACAGAACATATAAATCATGTTTAAAAACTCGAGGTTTTAAAATCACTGTTCCTCAATATGATTCAGAAAAGTCCTCATGCTGACAAGGGCAGTCCCAGGTGGTAAAGCAAATTGCAGGAGGAGAAGAAAGAAGAGACAGACACAAGTTTGCTGTCTTAATATTTTACTCATCCTGTCAGTTAAAAATGGTGATGTCATGAGAAATAACAGTTTAGATTTAATATGAGGAATGGAATTTTGCCTCACAGTTTGAGACATGCATTTCAAGTATTTTCCTATTTGATCTGAGCTCCCTGTAGCAGACTGATACTGAAAGAGAATAATTATTTCCTTCCATACATTCGCTCGATGTCCGCCTGGTAATGTGTTTTAAGCTCTTTGCGTTTCAGCTTGAAGGCATCTGTCACTAGACCGGTTTCAGGGGTCCACGGTTCAGGACTCAAACGAATTTTTACTGGAATTTCAAACTTTTCCAGACTTGCTGAGATGGTGGGACCAAAAAAAAAAAAAAAAAGGTAAATTTGAAGTCCTGAAAAATGTACAATTAAAATTCTTAGCAAATAGTGTAAATTCCCTGGTCTTTGAGCACCTGTCAGATGCACAGCCAACACCCTCTAAGCAATCCACCCATCAGAAATACTAGTAGAAGTAAAGACACAGATACGGATGAAAATCACAATAGGGAAAAAACTTTAAATACATGTCCATTAATAGAATGAGTTAAATTATGATACTGGCATAAAATAGAACGCAATTCGATCATCGAAAATAAGTTAGATCTACATGGTATTATGGTATGAATACATAAAGTTTTTACAATATATTGTTAATTTTTAAAAAGGCAATTTTTAAAAAAAAATCCTGGATAAACTTGTATGTATCTAGATGTATAGGATAAGGACACGCACCGACTGTAAAGTGTGTACACCTCTAAGGGCTAGGATCCAGGATTAAGGAGAAGGGAATGTCACTTTTTACTTTACACCTATTTTTTTCCTTTGAATTTATTATAAAGAGCATAATCACTTTAGAAACTAAGAAGTAATAAAAGTTTAACCAGGCTATTCACTGTAAAAGCTATGAAGGATGGAATGTTTGTTCGCTATTGTGTTCCTAACATGCTGTTTGATACCAGTAGATTGTCAACACTGGAGGGATGGAGGGATGGAAAATCGGTAAACACCTAGCCATAGTAATTTTATGTGTGCGTGTGTATATATATGCATACATATATATATACACACACACATACATTTATATATTTATAAATAAACACGATAAATAATATATATGTATAAATATATATTATATATAATTATAATTATTACAGCCCTCATTTCACCAACTGCTCATGTGGTTATAAGCTGTGTTTGTTTTCCTCAAACTCTGGTCCAGTGGGATTTTACTTCTCAGCAGTCTGCCCTGCAGACCAGCTGTGCCTGGCCAGCCCCCGATAACCACAGACAACAATTCCTTACAATACTGATTCTATTCAAATACAGACTTGGCTTAGGAACGAAGCTAAATCCCTTCTTGGCATCACATATAAAAATTAACTCAAAATAAGGACATAAATGTAAGAGCTAAAACTATAAAACTAAAAAACACAGGGGTATACCTTTGTGACTTGGCTTAGGCAATGGTTTCTCACAAGGTTTTATTCTTCAAAGATTAAAAGAATCCCAGGAGTGGTCTCCAAATGGAAAAACCAGCATGAGCGAGAGCAGCATGGCTCGGGCCTCAGGACTTCAGGGCCAGAAGAGTGTGACATTCCCGAGATGCACGGGAGTGGAAAGCAAGCACTGGAAGACCAGGCGAGTTTTTCAGTTTCAGACTGCTCAGTGCTAGACTCTATGACCTGGCTCACAATTATGCTGCATGCAGAGCACTATCGTCTAAACCAGAGTTTGAGGAAAACAAACACAGCTTACAACCACGTGAGCAGTTGGTGAAATGAGGGCTGTAATAACTGTAAGTTTTCTTCCTTATTTTGTTGTATACATGGTAAGCAAATACTTTCATTTTCCTCCCTCTTATTCTCCTGTTACATTATGTATTAATGAGTAAACATTATATCACAATATTTAACTTACAGGGTCTCAAAGGAGAAGAGTAAAAATCACTCACGGGGTTTGCATCCTCCTCTGGGAAACATATTTTCAGGTGGATGCAGGCCAGCTGTACCATGCTAGGTGGGGATCAGACTTTATTGTTGTCTTTACTTGGACATTAACTATGGTTTAAGAAGATGTACAAAGGGGCCAAGCTGACACGGGGTAGACTATGGTGGTCAGCTTTGTGTGTCAACTGGGCTAGGCTAGAGTTCCCAGTTATCCAATAAAACTGTAATCTAAGGTATCGCTTTGAAGGTTTTTTATGGATGTGATTAAGTCTATAATCAGTTCATTTTACGTGAGGAAAACTCCCCTAGATAATCTCTGTGGATCTGATTCAGTCAGTTGAAAAGCCTTAAGAGCAGAGCTGAGGTGTCCGCAGAGAAGTAAAATCCCACTGGACCAGAGTGGTCGTGCCTGAATCCCAGCCCACCCTCTCAGCAGTCTGCCCTGCAGACCAGCTGTGCCTGGCCAGCCCCCGATAACCACAGACACCAATTCCTTACAATACTGATTCTATTCAAATACAGACTTGGCTTAGGAACGAAGCTGAATCCCTTCTTTGCATCACATATAAAAATTAACTCAAAATAAGGACATAAATGTAAGAGCTAAAACTATAAAACTAAAAAACACAGGGGTATACCTTTGTGACTTGGCTTAGGCAATGGTTTCTCAGATGATATCAAAAGTACAAGCAACAAAAAGTTTTAAATAAATTGTATCATATCAAGACTGTTATGTTTTAACGGATACCATTAAGAAAATAAAAAACAATCCAAAGAATGAGAGAAAATATTTACAAATCACATATCTGATAATGGACTTATATCTAGACTATATAAGGAACACATACAACTCAATAATAAAAAGACAAATAACCTCATTAAAAAAATGGGTTAAGGATCGGAATAGACATTTTTCTGGAGAAGATATACAATGGCCTATAAGTACACGAAAAGATGCTCAACATCATTAACCACCAAAAAAACAAATCAAAACCACAATGAGATACCAGTTCACACCCACTAGACTAGGATGGCTAGAATCAAAAGGATAAACAATAACAAGTATTGGCAAGGATGGAGGGAAACTGAAAACTGTATACGACGCTAGTGGGAATATAAAACGGTGCCACCACTCTAGAAAGTAGTTTTGAAAAATAGTCTAGCAAGTCTAGGTAGTTCCTCCAAAGGTCCAACATGAAGTGAACGCAGGCTCAGCAATTCCACTGTTAAGTATCTGCCCGAGAGAAATAACCATGTCCACACAGAAACTTGTATATGAATACTCTTAGCAGCATTATTTAATAGCAGCCAAAGCAGAAGCAACTCAAATGCCTATCAACTGATGAATGGATAAACAAAATGGATATATATCCACATTATGAAATATTACATGCTACAAGGAAACATCGATGAACATGGATGAACGTTATGCTAAGTGAAAGAAACAAGTCACAAAAAAAACATATATTGTTATGATTCTATTGAAACAAAATCCCCAGAACAGGCAAATCTATAGAAATAAAGCACATTAGTGGTTGCCAAGGGCAGGAGGTTTGGAGTATAATGGGAAGTGACTGATGGACACAGGATTTCTCTTTGGGGTGACAGCACTTCTAAAACTGACTGTGATGATGGCTGTACGATTCTGTGAATACACGAAAAACTATTTACTTGTACCTAGTAAATAAGTGAGTTGTTTCATACCTGAATTTTATCTCAATAAAGTTGTTAAAATATAAATAAAATTTAAAAATAAGCAAAAACTATCTAAAAGTATGCTTATTGTTTCAGTATTCTATCTTAGAAATTATGTAGGTTTCTAACAAATATCTATTAACTCAATTTAGCATCAGTCCAAGGTTTTAAGTTACCTAAAAATGCTGGAAACTAACTGCAAGCTGATATACTAACAAAACATAATCACTGTTAAAATAAAGAGCCAGAATAATGATTCCATCTGGTTAAATGCAATTTACATTTTAAATAAACTTGAATAACATCCAAGGAGAAAAAAGGTGCATACTTGCATTACACTTAATGCTGATGACTCAGAAGGTATAACTGTTTTATTAAACCAACAATATTAAACCAATCTTGTCACACACCCCCACTCCCAGTGCCCCCAACCCCCAAACACCACCACAGGGAATATAGGTCATCTTAGTCCAACAAACTACCAGTACACTAACAGCGTAGAAAGTGTAAAAACAGAGTCCTGGGTGATTCGCTAAGTGCTGCGGTGGCCAGGAAACCGAGCAGGGCCTGGGAAGCCGCTGAAGTAAGAGATGAAAAGGACCGACCCAGAAAGCAGAGGTGCAGAGTGTTCTGACGCAAGCGCCAGGCGCAGGAGGGGCGACTCGTGTGTCCCGCTGCAGGGCTTGAACGGGGGTTGAATGGGGTCTGGTAAGTATGTTCTATCTACTAATGGCAGGAAAAAACAATTGGTTTCTGAGCAGGAAATGGTGTAACCTAAGCTCTGTAATACAAGAGGATAAATACTTCTAAGTACCCTCTTCCCATCTCAGGTCTTAGAATCAGTATGAGACACACTCACCTGAAACAGCAGCTTCAGAAAGCACTTTCAGTACCTCGTTCTCCATTTCACAGCTGTTACACAGTTCCTCCCAAGTCCCTTTAAGTCCTTTCTTTCGAGCTAGTTCTGTTAGCTCCTTTTGATTTGGCACAACAAATCCAATGACATAAGAATGATAACTGAAATACATAAAGCGCAACTTAGCTAATGACTAAATGGCATACCACGTTATCTGCAGTTACTGATTACACTGACATTTTAGTATCCAACTCCTTACAGTTTTAAAGAGAATGCATGAGGCATATTTGGTACTGGCATACTTAGTTTATGCAATATCTACTTTTACTGTCTGATTCATAATACGTTCCAATGCTTTGGCGGAATTCATGGTTAATAAACCTCAATCTGGCATATAACAATCCATTTCAACTACACGTAACTGGTATAAACAAAGCCATGTACACATTTTTAAAAGAAAATTATAAATATTAGAAAATTCATATTTTAAAAATCAGTAATTCGCATCAACAGGTTTAACAAAAATAAAAGCTAATGTAAATTAGAAACTGTATCTAAAGAAATTTGGCAGCAAGTCAAAGTAATGTGATTGCATTTATTCTCTTCTTTTGAGAGAATTTTTGTTGACAGAGGAACTGAGTGTTGCCGCTGAAGGCAGCCACCTGAAGACAAGGCAGCAGCATCAGGAAGAGGCCAGTTCCGGTGAATAGCACAAAAGTAAAACCCAGAACCGTAGCATCGCTAGGGAAAATACTTCATTAAAGGGCCGAATCGTTTATAAATCAACGTGATAAGTCATTTGGCAATCAAAGTCTGTTTCTAAATTGGTTCTTCTGATACCAGATCCTGTTTTTTCATAATAATTACTATGTCAACTGCTGTAGTTAAGGTTCCTACGTTGGCCACAAACTATCTGACCACAAACACTGGAAAATACTTATCGCATGCAGTACCATCAGGGAAAAGGTAATCGGAGTGACGATCTAAAATTCCAACTCATTTCCCAAGAATTTCTGGGATTTTAACTTCGATCTCTCCTTCCCGGCTGCCTGTAAATCACTGTGGGCTTCACGCAACTTAAGGCAGAAGGCCAGGGTCCCAAGCGGCTCACATTGAGAGCAGGGCAGTAGGAACCGAGAACAGCCCTGCTTGCTGACCGCCACCCCACCTTCTTTTTCGCTCCCCTTTCCTCTAGACTGGTTCTGCAAAGCCTCCCTAAGCAGAGGGACAGAGAGCCAGGGGGCACCAAGGCAGCAGGAAGGACGTTCTTTTCTTCACCTCCCTATCACACAGGACACTGAAGCGAGAGATAAAACAAAACACGGACACAGAGGAAGACGAGGAGGAAGAGGAGGAAAGAGACATGAGACAAAGGGCCGTCCTCAGAGACAACAAGAAAGAAGAAGGAAGAGTTATTTGTATAATTTTACAAAGAAAGCCCATATCAGGAGGAAACGCCGGTAGCACACGAAATGTTTTTAGTAAAAGTAGCATGAGCTCTGCTTTCTCACCTGTTTGCATATGCGCAAATGTTATCTATCAGTGACAGGTTCTTCAGAGCTGCCTCTACTTTCCCGAGAGAAACATACTCCCCTGCCTGCAGCTTTACGAGGTCCTTTTTACGGTCTGTGCAAGACAAAGGCCGGGGCAGGGGAGACATTGGAGGGTCATGTTAGTAACACCTTTAATACACATAAATACTGGCCATTCCCTAAGTAATGTGCTATAATTAAGTTTACCATAATAGTCATGCTAAAACTAAAAGCGCATAATAAAATCAAGCCCTAATTTTTGTACTATTAAATACATTCCTTAAAAAAAATTAGCTTCTGATGAAGGGGCCCCTTTAGCAGGGCTTCAGGTATGTTCTGCTGAACAGCTATATTCCTGGTATACACATCAGTACCAGGAAGGAAAGCATATACTCAGGGCGACCCGAAAGACCACGCCCTACTTAGAGACACATGATGCAAAACCACGCCACTTCAACACGACAGGGCAGGCTGTGCTGTGCCAAGACCCCGGCCCGCTGACTTGGGAAGAACTCTGGCGAGGGAAGCCTGCGCCCGGGCCTGACGGAGGACCGATTGGGGGCCAGGTGGCCGAGCACTGGCAGAGGACAGAGAAGGGTCAGCTTGAGGTACCGCAGCAGCGAAGGCCACAGCCCAGACGGAGGTGGAGAGGTGAACTGGGCCACACACCAACAGGAACCCTGAACCGAGCCTCAAGGAGAAAAAAAAAGAAAGTGGCCCGGCCCAGTGAGATGAGTGTTTAGCGGTCACACCAAGGCAGTGAGGAGGCGCGTCTGAGCGGGACAAGCGAGGCGAAGAGAGGAATTTCTTGCAACAGGGTGACAAGGTACAGGCCTAACCCATGATCTGTGCTGAGAGGGAGAGAGAAAGGAGACAGCGACGTTGAGCCCATTTCGCATGGTGAATCAGGGCCTTGGGTCAGGTGTGCGGAGCAGAAGGGACAGTCTCTCGTTTCCTCCCAGGCTCTCGTTAGCAAGACTGGGGAGAAACGCTGTTAACTGAGAAAAGCGGTCCCAGAGGATAAACAGGAGACACTGTCGCCCTGCCGAGCTGCCAGGCCTCAGTTCTCACAGGCACGGACATGGCGCTGGCAGTAGGGAGCCCTGTCCAAGGACCTCTGGATAGCAAGGAATTCACAGAAGTTGAGTGTTCCCTATTCAGAAGTTGCCTCTTTAAGGGTTAGCTAATAACAATTAAAAATAACACGCTGTTGAACAGGTTGGGACCTTATAATGTGTAGGCCTTTTAATTCCGCCCGGTCCCTACTGTAAATTTTTATATTCCAGGGATAATGCAACAGACCATAGCAACATTACATAAAGATATATTCTTACGTGATTAAACGGCTTCTCCAAACACACGGAATCTCTTTTTAAAAACTATTTCAGAAACATCCACTTTCAAAAAACAGATCAGAGGGCTCACCAATAATCTTTAAGCAGCCGTCAGGGTCGAACTCTCCGATGTCTCCAGTGCAGAGCCACCTCTGTCCATTTTCATCTTCAAAGAAATCAGCTTTTGTTTTTGCTTCATTTTTGTAGTATCCCATTGTCACATTTTGGCCACCAATAAGAATTTCACCCCTGGGATGTGGTTTATCGGTATTAAAGTACCCACCTAATAAACACAGAATAACTTACAGTTAATTCAATATTTTTATCCCCATGTGCACCATGTGAAAATTTCAAACTGTTAGTTTCTAAACAGGGACTTACAATTTTATTCCAATTAGAGCTTCTCAAAGGAAATAAAGCAATACATGAATGAACAAAACTCGATCAACGGAAAACTAGGTGCATTACTAAATATTTAGAAGATTTAGTCCGTATAATTTCAGAATGACTCCAAGTTTAAATTTATTGAACCTTTTCAAATTCTGCTAAAAGACAGCTGAAAAATTACATCTGAGCATTAGCATCTTTATCTTTACTTTGTATGAAAGAAAAAAAAATCCAAACAAATCATAGATAATATGTACATGTTGACAGGATCAAATAAAAAACTTAAAAAGTAATTAGTATTTAAGTGGCATAAGCAACAAATTTTTATGGAATTATAGGGAAAATTTCCTTCTGATAATCTTTGGTTGAAGCCCTCAGGGGAAAAAAAAAGAAAAAACATATAAAATATCTTTAATTTCATAGAATAAATCTTATGATTTTGCTTCTACAAAAGTTAATGATTATTTATAACATTTCTCAAGTTTTGGCATAATTCTTACTTGTATTTGTGTAATAAAATAATAAGCAAAATAAAAATTATAATTCTTCAGAATCATCTTTGAAACAAGCAAAATAAATATATTCACGTAGCTCTAGATAAAATATTTCTACTACAAAGACAAAAATGAGCACTTGTGAGGAATTTTATATACTAAAATAAGGAAGAAAATGAAGCACAATTCTAATTCTAAAGCTTAATATTATACAAGTTAATGCTCTCTGGTTAAAATAAGTTTTTACCTTCCTCCCAGTTCTTTAATTTGATTTCACAGCAAACTAATGGCGCTCCCACTCTGCCAGTATTGTAGTCCCACACTAAGATGCAAATGAAAAAAGTATTTGATTACAATAGTTAATAAATGGCTTCATTTTTCTAAATTACCAAAAATGATGAATTATCCCAAAGCTTAGGTATCGTCAGAGAATCCTTAAAAGCAGAAGTCACAAGCTGATGAACCACAGGCTGTGTGGCCCACACTGAGTTCTTCTTTTTGTTTTGTTTTTAATCTGAATTGATTATTGACATTTAAAATTCAAGACATTTTATGTGTAAGTGTAGAATCTCCTGGAACAATGGACCTGCCTTTCCAGCAGGTGCAGTCCCCGTTACCGGGGCATGTCTGCTCCAGTCCCCCAGATTCCTTACCCATCACATTTTCTTACATCGGGGCCCGCTTGGCTCATTTAAGTAGCTGCCTGGTTCATGAGCTTATAGCCCCTCCCTTAAGGAATAATGGAGCACAATGGTTTACACATATTCCCCTGTGTAGCAGACCCGACAGCTTTGCAGGACAAACCACCCCTCCCATCTTCTCCCGTGTATCACTATTTCAACATGAGACCTGGGATGTCAGTCATGCTATCACGCCCTATTTAAATTCATACAATAAAGAGTTCAAAGCCCAGGCCGGAGATTAAGATTCCAAACTTTCAATAATCTGGGAAAAGAACCCACCACTATTATAAATTACTATTGCAATTGAGTTTCTTCTTCAAAGATCAAATATCAGAAATGCTGAGATTTAATACTTTACAGAGTCTTACGGGCAACACAGTGTAACTGATTAATCATACAATCAATGTGAATCTTAAAAACAGAAATTAAGGATCTTCAAAAGAAAGGAACCATATGTGTACGTATTTAAGATTGCTTGCGTACCTCCTGCGAAACAAAATTTAGAAGTAGCTTCCAAAAATACATAAAATACAGAGAACATAACTGAAAAAAAGGAAAATACAGAAGTAATGCAAGATAAACTTGGCATAAGAATAGTACACAGAAGTACTCAAGGCAAATAGGGAAAAATCATCAGTTAAGAGGTTTAGTATCTATCAGTATCTAGAAAATACAAAGTAGAAACAGTTCTTTCTAGGACTAGGAAGCACATTCTCCCACAGCTGGGACACACGCGACGCTACAGGATTCACATGGGAACGCTCGGGTCACCTCCTCCACCACGTCTTCATGATAAACTCTGAAAATTACGTTCTCTAGACCTGAACCTACTCTCTCTCTATACTTACACAGATCACCACCACCCCCACGAAACATTTCTGAACTTCAGCCTTAATACACATACCTAAACAACTAGACAAAACATGTTAATTTTCTATATAAACAGAAATTTAATAACTGATGTAACAAAATAAATGTATACAATATAGCCAATGCCTGGTACTAAAACTTCTTATCCAGAGTGCTAAGTAGTAAGTAGTTTTTAATATTACATAGTTTAATGTGCAAAAGTCTTCTAGATAAATTACTGACTATTAGATACACCTACTGCATTCTAAAACCTTCTATCAATCATCAGAGAACACAGAACTTACCATTATTCTGCTACTCAAATAAACACTTTAACCACTCTTTTCCTATCACCCACAACCAAACCACCTGGAGCTGCCCGCTCCGGCCCGACCCTCCACTGTGCGCACTGACCTTCTGTGATCGTTCCGGCTCCAGCACACTCGGTGAGTCCATAGCCCTGACCAACAGGACAGCAAAAGCAGATATTCATGAATCGCTGTGTGGTTGCGGACAGTGGAGCACCCCCGCACAACAGAATCCGAATGTTTCCACCGAGCAAGCTTCGAACTTTCCGGAAAATAAGCCTAAGAAATTAATCAGAGAATCACAGGATTGTAGAACTGAATGGTATTTCCCAAGTCATACAGACTAATCTCCCCATTTTGATATATGAAATGTTGAGATTAAGTGCTTTGTCTAAGGCCACATAGCCAGTTCAACAGGTTCTCTTGAACCACTATTTAAATCTTAATTTTTAGAAGTTCAACCAAGTAAAGGACATGGGATTTTCTCTTAAATACTTTTCAAGTAATAGTTGAATTCAAAATTATCAGTTTAATTTTGTACAGTAATGGAAAACCCCTGCTAATGACCAGAACAATTCATTTTATATCAACGTATAATACATGTGATATGAACACTGAAAAATCATACTATATCTTTATACAATTTAGTATTAAAAGCAAATTAATTTTTTGCGTTAGCTTACTGCATTAGAAATGCGTATGTTTGTATACGTCAATGTCTTTTTAAAATTTTTACTAATTCAAGTTCGGAAGTGTTAATTGTTTAAAAATAACTGGTAAATTTTTTAAAAAAGAAAACAATTCAAACATCTAACTGAAATGTTTCTGAAAATACACAAATAAAAAAAAGATTGCTTACTACCTTGATCAAAAGGAGGGTTTTTTAAAGTAACTTTGAAAAAGGCAAAGACCAAGTGGCAATCATTTTTTTTTAAATAATTACTCTTAAAAATAATATGAACAGGCTTTACAAAAAAGGTTATATATCATGTTAGAGATAACTAAAAGGCAGGAAAAAATTTATAAAGTTTTAAAAAATGTGTAGCATCTGAAAACCATACTAATATTTCCATAAAAAATATAAATAGCATACTTTTATTTTCTAATTTTTAGGCTATTTAATAAATTAAATTTACTTTATTAGCACCACAAAAACAAAAAATTAACAGTTTATGGTAAGACTGGTCATTTAATACGTTAAACACAAGAAAATCATATTTAGTTGCCATTTTATATTTATATCGAAGTAAATTTAAAAGCAAAAAGAAACTTCCTCAAAATAATTAAAATCATGTGTCCACATAAAATATAAACATACTATTCAATACAATAGAACTGTAAGTGAAATTTTTTTCAAATAACATTGCAATCTTTTTTAATTGCTCATATTCTTATGCAAGATGGATTTTTAAAGAGTCTCTTTGGTTTTGTAAAATAAATTTATTGCTCATTACTATTTCAATTAACAAGGCTATTAATGTGAACAAAATGACTAAATTATCAAGAGGGAGGGCCTTTACTTGCCTGTCACACAGGGGAGTACTACGCCCTTTTGAAATCTGTTCCATTTTGTAATTATAGGCCAGAATAAAGAGATTACGTTGAAAACTACTCATTTCATTCACTTTATTCATGACATTTTTGTAGATCCGATCCATGATTTCCTAGATGTATAAAAACGAGTATACAGTAAATAATGCTATCAGCTGCCGTACGCATATTAAAATCTTAACATCAGATTATTGTCAGTATTGAGGCATTTTAAAAGATATATTCTATCAGGAACAAACTTTTAAAATAGAGTCATGGTTAGTTTAAAATTGAGATTTCTGTAAAAACAATTTTTAATAGCAGAAATATATCTAGATGCTCATATGAGTAGTAAAAAAAGAAATGAAAGCTTTAGAGCAGTAATAGCTATCATTATTGATTCTTTATATTGCTTTTCTTGTTTATCTTATTTATTCTGAACTAAAAACTAAACTCACTAAACAAATGAACAACTAACTATATCAAATGGTTTTTAAAATTCTCATAACTCTATCTCATAAAGACATGGAGTACCACGTTCTCTGCTCACAAGAGGCACGTGGGGTTCTTCTGGCTGGTAGCTGAGTTTCGATGCTGCCATAATCTCCCTTGTCCGCACTGCACTTTGATTGGTAGGCCTATTACTATGAAGCAAACTTTAAAGACTTCAAAAGTTTTCCTCTACAATTTTAAATTATATTTAATTTTTACACAACTGAAATTTTAAAGTAAAATACGACTAAGAAAACTATACACCTACAGAAATTCCAAAACTGCTGGTCATTTATATTTGACCTTGGAATAACTGTATAATTATGCTTGGATGTGAGCACTCAGGTATCTGACAATAAAATTCCCAACAATGACAAACAAATTCAGAAAGCCACATAAAACTTAAAGAGACAGAAAATCACTGAATCCCACTTCTACTGATCTTACCCTCAGACCCCTCCCCAGGGCTGGTATTATATTGGGGTGCACAGTGCTTCTCAGGTAACTCGAAGGTACACCAACTTCTTTTTGGGGGTGTCTATAACAGACTGTCCCTGAGGACTCAGGAGGTAAGCGTGTGACTTGCCTATTTAGGAGGAGGTGATCTTAAGCCTCCTCGCCTATCTCCTGCAGGGTTTCAGGGTTCTACTAAGAGCAAACAGATCTCATGAAAATGATCCGAACAAGAAGCTACTTAGGGAAAGGAGCTGATAATATCATACAGATGCTGAAAATAAGAAAAAAAAAAAAAGCTAAAATAAGGCTGAATAAATCCTGCAGAGCTTAAAACAATATAGATAATCGATAAGGAATAAATCCTACATAAACTACCTTGACAACAATATCTTTTCCACTAGCATTTATCCTCTGAAGCAGATGACACTTCTTTAGTACGCAATATTAATTAATGGTCAATTCTTACCGGAACCGCTGCCATTAGTGTTGGCCGCAACATGGATGTATCCCCTTTGCTTCCTTTTTTTATTTTTGAAGACTATAGAGAGAGAAAAAAAAAAATCTATATAAAGTGATCCTTATTTTAAAAATTCAAAGGAATTCTTAGACCAAAAAGCATATTATAAATTCAACATTTTAATTTACTCGTATTCTAATAGGCACTTAAAAGGGAAGTGCTTATTTAAAAATGATTAACTATCATCTTTACAAAATATTGTCAAATTGATGGGGGGAAATGTGTTAAAAATAATTACGATTTTTTAGTATCTGAACACAGACATTTAATTTACCTGATCTGCTAAAGTCTGTGGTGATGAGTAGCCAATGCAGCATCCATGAGAAAGACAAACGAGCTCACCACTTAATTCTAATACATGGGCCAGAGGCAAATATCCGATGTAAATGTCTTCCTCTCTGAAAGAAGAGGGAGACAGAAGAAGCAACCATGAGGTGCCGTCTCTGCTGAGAGTGACTGCTATGGGAGCAAGCCTGAAGGGTACGTCAGGGCGTCGATTTGGGAAGAGGGAAAGTGAGTGAGAGAGACAGACACTTGGGGGTGTGAAGGCAAAAAGGACTCCAGCTCAGCCTAAAACTGAGGGGGCAGACACTCTAAGCAAGTGGCCTTGTTTCCAGTCCTACTTGAAGACGCTCATTCATCAAGTATGAGTGTTGCAGAAGCCAAGTGCTAAGGCAGAAGAAATAGGAGTTTGGGGGGAGAAAAATGAAGCGTTCTTTCCGACAGTAGAAATCATCCAAGGAGGAAATGGTCTTTAAAGCCAGTGGGCTGCCAGAGTTCAAATAGAATCCACAGAGAGTTCAAACAGAATCCGCCACTGTCAGCCAGGAAGATTACAGAAAGAAGAGTCCTGTTCTGAGAGTTAAACGGAATTATACCTCATATAAGAAAATGTACACGCATGTATGTGAGTCTATTTCAAGAACGGTCCCCATCCCCTAACTATGAAGGGCAACTGAGGCAAATTCACAAGGGAACTGTTGCTCTTAATTTTTTCTGAAGGCTATGCACACATGACAAATTTCTTCGCCACCAAATCCAATTCCACAGTAAGCAGTATGTGCACACGCACGCATGGGTGTGTAATTTCTGTGCACAAGGGCATCAAAAATATCCAACCACTGCACCGGATCAGCCATCGGCATACTGATCCCGTCTCTGGGACCCGTCCCTTTTCAGTCCCTGGAGGCCCATCTGGTCTGCCCCACCAGTCTCCGGCGCCGTGATCTCCACCCCATCCTGCTACTAATGGAGTGTGACTGAATAGAGAACCTCAGTAATCGTGTACCGGATATATTAAGTTATTTTGTTCACCTGAATTTTAACACATTTAGGTATAAAAATGACTACAGAAGTAACAACACCGATTAATTTAAATTAAGGGATTTGTCGGTTAAAATTTGCAGTTTTAAGTAAAAAAGTTAACTATTAACGATGATATCTATAAACTGCATTTTAAACTTCATGACTATAACTGTTCTGTAATTAATTTTAATGTTCTTTTTTGAAGGGAACGCCTACTGTAAATAGACTCCAAAGGACTAACTGCTAAATAACACACATTAATGTAACGACAGACGTAGACACCGCACCGCCGCGCATGCGCGCATCGGGCCAGGAGGACGCACCCCAGGCGCGGAATCCGTTCCGCCATCCCCGTCACGCCAGCAATGATGTTGCTGTGGGAGATCATGACGCCCTTGGGCAGCCCCGTGGAGCCGCTGGTGTACATGATTACTGCGATGTCTGTCGGCGCTGGTTTGCTCTGAGGTCTGTTATCTGTATCAGAGGAAAAAAACGCACTTCTAAGAAATTTAGCCATATCGCCAATTTTTCATAATCATTTATTTGTTAACTCAATGCAACAACTATTAATTGTAATCATACAAACGTCAGCAAAACAGATCAAGTCCCTGCATATAAGGGACATATATTCTCTTGAGACAGACAAGCATATAAACCTATAATATAGTAAGAGCTATGAAGAAAAATGAAGCAAGACAAGGTGAAAAGATGAGAGAAGCTATTTAGATGGAAAAGCCAGGAAAGGCCTTTCTGTAGAGTTGCTATTTTAGTGAAGACCTGGGTAAAGTGAGAAAGTGGAAAATAAGCAAGTGCGAAGGCCCTGAGGTAAGACTGTGCTTGGCACTGGTCCAGACCAGCGAGCAGTTTGGGGGGGACAGTGAGAAAGAGGGGGAAGTGGCAGGAAATGAAGGCCGCGACCACCTCATGTAGAGCCTGAGGCCACGCTAAGGACTTCAGACTTCACTACGGGGTGGAAAGCACCGTTGTTTCAAAGAGGGGCTTGCCCTCATCTGTGACAGGATCACTTGGGCTGCCGTGTGGCTGCCTAACTTAAGAAAGGAAGGAAAGGAGGTAGGGAGGCAAAAGACTATGCCAGCAATTCAACTAAAACACAGGGTGGCTGGACTAGGGTACCCAGGCATTTGTAGACATTGTCTCTGCCCCCCAGTGGTAAAGTTAACTTGGCTA